TTCTACTAGACGACCACTTTGTGCTTCGTTCAGACTGCAGGTTTATTTCTTACACCTGATCTGTAGGACACACTGATACTACCTCCACCGAGGAGGATGTGCTATCATCTGCATTTGTGTTCATCAGTTATCAAGATTATGTAAATATTACTGGACAGACTAACACAAAACTTGGTGAAAGGATGAAGTATGAGTCAGGGAAGACCCTGTTTTGCTTTGCAGAGCCACTTTAATCAATTTTAGTTGGATCAGAGAGCACTTTCTTTAACATTGTATTGTTTATTTCAACTGATAAAAACAATCAGGTATGTTTGGGGACTGTGAAATTTGATGCTGATCCAAATACAGTGAATTTAGAAATGTTTCATAAGTTAATGTTCTTGTTTACCTCCATGACCTTAATGTTTTAAAGACACGGACATCTCCAGGAGGAGTCCTGGTGCTCAACTTCTTCTGTCTGCTCCTGGGAGCACTCAGCATGTTTGAAAGCTTCATATTCTTGCTGTGATCTACGACTCACCACAGTTTAATTTAGTTTAGACGTCCACAGAGAGTTTGTTGAACTTTCTGAACTATGTCACATCACTTCAGTCTGCCATAGGTGTACTTCTGTCAGGTTCTAGACACATTCAAGGGATGATTAAAGCAACAAGGATGCAGCAGATCCCAGGCTGGAGCATAAATAAGCTGGACAACACATCCTCTAACTGTCCAGAAATAAAGTGAAAATATAAACGCTGCCATCTGTGCAGCAGTGATTGCCAAGTGGAGCCGCTGTACTGAGATACATGTGCTTGACTTATCAAGACTCAGTCTCAGCTGTCAATCATCATGTCTCAGCCCATCATCAAATAACTAATTTAAAACAAACGTATCAGAAACATGCACACTCAGACAAACATCAGTATACAAAATGTATTAAACCTGTACTTTTTTAGTTTGGTCCACTAACGTGGAGGAGGCACGGTTTATGACCTATACTGCAAACAGCCACCAGGGGGCGATCAAAATGCTTTGCCCTTGATTTTGCAGGGTCGTCCTGTTGCACATATTTTCTTACAGTGTATGGACCAGACACTTTTAAATATTAAGTCAAGTTTTTTAACACAAAAAACTCACAAAATTACAACACAAGGTTATTGAGAGTAGACTGATGGACAAAAATGAAGGCATGTAAAGACCGCATTATATACACACAGATATAACATATCTCTATACTGTGGAAATTATGTTTTAGCATTACATTTTCACTATGTACAGCTTCACAGTATTGATGCTTGTGTCACAATCTTGTGTGTGACTTTGTGTCACATGGATTGGCAGAAATGAACCGCAGCCTTCGATTGAACACAACATCCACTTTACTTCACAACAGAGTCAATTTGTGCCAAGGTGGCTCCGAACAGCTGGGAACACTCTGCCCTGTGGGTAGCGGCCTGTGGTGTTTCCTCCTGTGACTTTCTGTGTGTGTGTGTGTGTGTGTTTGTGTGACACACTGGGTTTTATCTCAAAGTGACAGGAGGAAATGCAACACCTGAGAGCAGACTTAAAGGCAGAAGGTGTGATTCCTCACCTCTCACACGTCCAGATGTTAATCATTTCCTGTTGGTCATGTTAATCTGCAATGATGGGGGGCATCTTTCCCATGAGCCCTCACCTGCTCTCTTCTCTCCTGTCCATCTGAAAAACAGCGGGCAACTTTTTCTTCCAGGACTTTTAGAGTTTACTGTAACAGTGACAGCAGCAGTTTTGAGTCAATTCTAGGCGTGAAATAGACTTGGATTGATTGTTTACTGGTACTATCTGTGCTGTCAACAATAATCAGTCCTTCCTGGCATTTGTGATCTTGCGAGACTTCAAACTACGATGGGGTATGATGATGTAAAATAAATAAAAGATTATGACGCTAGGAACAAAGGTTCAAATTGTAAACCTTGACAAGAAAGTTGACACAAAGCATGTAATTGTGCGTTATGTTTGTGTGTGTGTAGCACGTGTGCATTGCTGTTGTTGTTGACTGGGTTTTACCATTACAGGCGGCTACTGCTGCTGCAGTGATCGGCGGTAACTCGGACATCGTGATCTACTGGCTGGTGTCGGGATTTAATTCAGACGTCAAACAAAGCTGATGTGAACCCACAGATGGTTCTATATATTCAATGGGAAATCTCATCAAGGGCAACTATCCAACAGCACAGCAGGATATATGTGCACCTGTGTGTGTGCAGGTGTATGTTTTCAAGCCAGAGAGGGGATTCATAGATAATATGACCCACAGCTAGAATAAACCAATTCAAAAACTGATGTAGAAGAAGCAGCAAAGCAGCAAATGTTTTTATTTCCGCTAAAATTAATTTTTCTATTTAGTTTTCAGTGGAAGGTTAAATTAACATATTAACATTTCAATAAATATATTTACATAAATTACATGAAAATACACACAATTTTCAAAAACGACCTGTCATTCATTATGAGTGAGAATACTCACTTGTTGGTTAGTTTTAAACAGTTAAACACACCTGAAAACACATATCACATGACCATTCACATACTCTGGTCATGTGGTGTAAACAGGAAGAAGATTGTCAACTCTGCAGTTGGTTGCTTAGTTTCAGAAAATACAACGAATGTGGAGCAGCAATGTTTAGCACACAGGCACCTCCTCTGGAGAAAATACTGAGGATCTGCAAAGTTCAGGGCATTTCTGAAAGCAGCTTCTGTCCGAGGAGCAGTCAGTATGTTAAGCTCTGTTTAGCCAAATTATGTTTAAGCTCTAGAGCAGTACATTTATATAGTTATTTTCTTTCAATCACTAAGGCTTGAGTTTGTTACCTTTTGTTGAATAAAACCCACATTTTTCCCACCACTCCCAGTTCTCCTGGTTTTTAATGCTTCCCCTGGTCCTTCGTCCTTCACACACTGATAGCAGAGTGTGGACACATGCGTCACAGACCACCTCAGAGTGCGGCCTGAGTGATCAGATCTTACACGAGTCCTCCATGCGTCTCGGGTGCGTTCACGCCTGAACTCAGACCTGAACACGTGACAGGATTGATGTTCCTACCAGGAGTGAATGGAGCCTCGCTGTGTTTGAACTGGTTTTACTGTACTTTTTAAAGCGAGCAGGAGTAGACTGAAGTCTGAAGCATTAGTGTCTTAACCGTTCAGAATTTGACTGCAGAAATCCAACAGTGCACATTTTCTGCTCTGTTTATCGACTCTGCTGAGCTGTGTTGTCACTCTGAATCAGACTGGGCCGGCATACATCACACACATACACACACACACTATTGATCTGGGGGAGGGAGCCATAAAATGAGAGGTGATGGATTGGTGCGGTGGGCGGCTCGGCCTTGTCGCGGGTGATTTTCATGCCTGAAGATGTGTGCTCTCCGCTGGCTGATCGATAAGGGGGCTGGTCGGTTTCTGCATATTCATCAAGTATGATACACCTACAAAAACCAATAGGAGAGTGGCACGTTCCATCATTGGTGTCGAGGTGAACAGGAGCGTCTCCCTGAGAGCTGCAGGAAAAAAAGAGTCTTTCCTCTTCAGTCTGGGAGAAATTTGACACCATTTGATGAAAAAGTTTTAAAATTTCCCTGTTATTAAACTTTCTTTAAAAAAAAGTGTCCTAAAATCAAACCGTGTGGCCCCTGAGGTGTGAATCATCTTTCCTTGAGCCAATTGTGTTCCCTTATTGAAAGCAAAGTGCCAATGTTTAAAATATTAACAAAGATTATAACAATTTATTTATTGTTTCTAGGATGCAAACACAATGTAAACTAAAACATGAAACCATTTTTTATTCCCATCATACTGGTTTTTGTGTGTTTTAAAAAAAAACATGCATTTGTAATTTGATTTTGCCGATAATGGGTAAACAAATAATTTATCAGTTGAGAAATCATTGTCACTGAAGTGGGAGGAAGTGGAAACTCATCATCTATTTTTATTTACAATAGAAAAGGGTAACCAAGAGAAATCCAGGGAGTATCACCAAATTTAATGTATTAAAATTTTTCGGATAAACCTGGATTCTTTTCATTAGTTAATTCCATTGTCATCATTAATGTTGGATAAAAAATAATGATCGAGGTGTTTGACATTTTTTTAAAAACCTGGGGCAACTCAAACCTCCCTGGGTAACCTTCAAACCTGTTCACACACTAGATTCAATTCAATTCAATTCAATAAGCTTTATTGGAATGACATTCGCATGTGTTGACAAAGCACAAATGCAAATGCACAAAGTTAATAAAATAATCGATAGAATAAAGGAAATAAAATATACAATATATGTAATACAGGTACTTAAAAATATAGAAGTAAACAAATGGAAATGGTGCCCCTCAGTTGATCATTAAAATATATACAGATTTCTGTGCCCACTGTGTCTATTGTTGTGACAGGTCGGGACATATTTGTCTCGGTTACATCCAGAATGAAGTGTAACTTCTCCCGACATGACAAACAGAGGTTTCTCTTTTCTGCACTTTCCTAAATCTCTAAAACATATGCAAACAGCAGCACACTGAGATGTCTCTTCATGCAGAGGATGTCTCAGCTCTCAGAAGTGTCTCTAGCTCAGAACAGAGCCTCTCATATTCTCTCAGCCGAGAGCACCCTACAAGAGAGACAAAGTTCTGGGACGCCCTTGTTTATGTCCCTTGGTACAGTTTGATGTAGCTTATTTCTGTTACACTTCTACAATATTGCAATAAAATTATTTTCATAATGTCAACACAGAACACCCATATATCATGACTGTTTTAATGGATGAATCTGGAAAAGTTTTAAGGACAAATTGGAAGTGTGCCATGAACCCCCAAGGCTCCCCACACCCCCATTTGAGAACCACTATTTTAGAGCGGTCTGTCCATTGAGGGTGGGAGACAAAGAGAGAGAGAATTTGAGAGAGGGCGAGGGAGAGAAAGAGAGAGAGCCAGTGAGAGAATTAGGGTGAGAGACAGAAAGAGAGAGGGGGAGAAAATTGGTGAGAAAGGGAGAGAGAGAGATAATTGGAAAGAGCGAGGGGGGATAGGAGGGAGAGAGAGAGAATTGGAGGGAGAGAAGCTCTCCTCTCAGCGTCACGGCTCCTCAGTGATCCTCCTTCTCTCCGACAGTTCACCGTCTTCTCTCTTTCACTGGAGGCGTCAGCTCGTGTGGACGGATGAGGACAGGGATCGCTTCCAGTTTCTCGTCTCTCCTCGGACCGCCCGCGGTCACCTCTCTGCGCTCTGAGCTCAAACTGGCAGAGGAGAGCTCACACAGACGGAGCAGAGACGTGCGTAAAGTCCGCTGTGCGCCCTGGCCGCGCCATGCCGCTCCTCTGACCGCCTCCGTCCCTCTCCTCCGTGGATGAACTTTCTCGCCGCCTGCGGGGACGCTGCGGCCGCACGCGTTGAGATCATGAAGACGACGCGGAAATGCCGCGCGCTGCTGTCGGTGGCTCTGAACCTGGTGGCCCTGTTCTTCTCCACCACCGCCTTCATCACCACGTACTGGTGCGAGGGCACCCAGCGCGTCCCCAAGCCCAACTGCAGCAAGCAGCGGCGCCACAACTGCATCGACTACGGTGTGAACGAGACGGACCAGAACAAGGTGCACTACAGCTGGGAGACCGGGGACGACCGCTTCCTCTTCCGCCGCTTCCACACCGGCATCTGGTACTCGTGCGAGGAGAACATCCACGAGGCAGGTGGGCACTTCCGAGGCTGATCTCACAGAGGAAGGCAGCAAAGATCAAACTAAGTTGTTCCTAAAGAAGAACAAATGTTATCTGAGCGCATGTAGCGCGTAAAGTGATTCATGATTAATGTTGTCTCTTCAGCAGAGGTTCAGGTTTGTTTACATGGTTTTAAACCTCTGTGCGTAAAACGAGCTTCATCTGAGCTTGATTCACTTTAGTTGAACCGAGCCGAGCCGAGCCAGGTCCACACTTACAGCAGGTGCAATGTTCTTCTGTCGCGTTAGATTCATTCTAAATGGATCAATGTGGTTGTTAAAGAGAGCGAAACGTCAGTTGGACTCTCAGACAGAAAACTCCTGGTTTCTCATTAAAATTGAAAAGATTGATCGGCTCTATTGACTTACAGAAAATGAACTGTTATTTAAAAATACTTAAGATTCTATAGGTCCAGCTTCTCAGAAAGTATCTATTGCATCTCTGCGCTGTTTAGGTTTTAGTCTGAAAGAAGATTTACGGTTTCCTCCGGCTTTGGGGAAATAATCAAGGAAATAATCGGATTTATGAATACATTTGTTAGTTACACGCTTATACTGGTCACGATTATGACAATAAAGAGTATTTTCATATGTTGCCTTATAATAATTTTAATATTAATCTTCAAAGTCAAAAATATGAGAACCTCAAATACAATGAAAAAAAGGCAATGTTCACAGTACAGGCAACAATCATTAAATTGGTTTCAGTGTAAATGGGGACACAAGCTTTTTTTTTCATTTGGTGTTAAAGACTATAAGACATATACATTCAAATACTCAGTTTGTTGGTTAAGTTGTTATATAACTGGCCATAAAATCTTGCTTGCCCCTTAGTGGTTCACCGCAGTATAGGTCATAAACCCTGCCTCCTCCATGTTAGCATATGGGACATGAACCAAACAAAAAGGGCAAAGTAAATGATTAATAGATTTTTCTCAAAGATGGTTTCTGGCATTTCAGGCATAGTTCTTAGCACACTGACTCATGCTCAAGTGTTCATGCATTTGAAATGTTGAGTTTCAATTAGTTATTTGATTATTTAAAAAGGGGGTTAGACGTCATGGCAACTGCGTCTGACTAGTAAAATAAACAATTTAATTTAAAAAGAGTTTCAGTAACTCCCTTAAACAGCTGCTCACTTGTTTTTAAATCAAACAACTCAAACTGGAGGAAGCCACATTTTGTTGGAGACAATTTTCAGTGAAAAAAATTGTTTTTGATCATCTGTTACAATTAAATTCCCTGGATAAACAGTATTTGATCATGTATGAGTGGATCAGTCAGCTGCTTGTGTTCTGCAGAGAGAGAGAGAAGGAAAGAGCGAGGAGCAAGAAAAAACAATCAAAAACTGAGTGTGTGTGTGTGTGTGTTGGCAGTACGTGAGAGTGAATAAACAGCTTAGTAAGACAGATATATATAAAGGCAGCAGTTTGGCCTCTTGAAGGCAGATACTGTATTAAATGCTGTTATCAACGAGCGCTGATGTTCAGTATATCTGTATGTCGATCATCGTCACCACATTCCTGCCTCACAGAGGATAAACCAGGAACTGCTCTGGATTGCGACTGGCTGCCATTGAAAAGTTAAATAGAAAAAACAAATCCTTGACAAAAAGGAAAACTCTGCAAGGTCAAGGAAAGATGTGACTGAATTTATGACCAAGTATCAATCTGCCGTCACGTCACCCATTAGTTTGTGAACTGCTGTTCTGAAGTTTCGAGTTTAGCATTTTGTTCATCGCCAGCTTTGTTTTTTGAAACCAGAGGTAACCATGAGTGGGGGGGAGAGCCAGACTGAGCTTGCTGACACTGCATCTATACCTGCACCCTGCACCCATTAGAGGGGACTAACTGTCAATCACACGGTATCCACCGCCCTAATTATGCATATGCTGCTTCATCATCCATTTGACTCTAAGCAGGAGCATCATTTACAAAATGACCATCATGCTGTATTGAAGAAGAGTTGAAAGCAGATATTGAGAAAATTAACTCATTAGGAAAATGTTTACTGACAGTATAAATTTATAGAAGTCTATATGAGTCTTTTTCTCATAGACTTCCATAGGGACTGACTTCTGATAAAACCAGTGGAGTCGCCCTCTGCTGGTCATTCCAGAGAACACCCGTCCTCATTGGCTCCACTTTCTGGACCTGCAGTCTTTTTCCATTTTTATATACAGTCTATGATAAGGACAAAGGTAAAGAGAATCAGAGTGCCGTCATACTAAACTTTCTTCAATTACGTGAACCAAAAATACCCAAAAAGTTTAAAGCCATTTAAATAATGATCAGGAAGGAATTGGAGAAGAGTTTGAGGTAAATTATATCTGACCGTGGATGCTGCTGTGATGTCCACTTGAATTATTATTGCTCTACGTGTTTACATCCTGCAGTAGCCAATGAAATGATGCTTCTACACAAGAGAGTGAAGTTGCAAGATGAGTTTTGTCTCTTTGAATTAAAACCCAGTCTGATCACTCTGCATCAAATCCAATTTTCATGCAGTACATATGTTTTTTTCCCTCTATTCCTTGTTGTCTGGGTTAAATGCATTAGGGCAAATGCAATTCCTTACAACGTTTAAATAAATCATATCTATATAGCAAAATTGTACATTTCCAGAGCTGACAATGTAAAAAAAACACATTATCTGGGAAAGGAACAATCCAAAGCATGAATGTGTTTTAACTATGGATATAAAAGTGTGGATTCTGAAGATAAACACTTATTTAAAGCCTAAAAGTTCTGAAGTTTGTTGTTAATCTAGTTTTCAAAGTTCACAATGGAGACTATAAAGATGGACGATGGATATCCACTTCCTCCCGGCATCCAAAAATGAAGCGTAAATATCACTGATACGAACGCTGCCCTCTTATACCAAAATGGATTTGGAGTCAGAGTCTGTGCAGTAGTGATCTTGGAGTGGAGCCATGGTATCAAGGGTTCGCTGATACATGCACTCAACCGATCACAAGTCAGTCTCAGCTGTCAATCAAGGTGTTTCAGTCCATTTTTATTTCATTAAATAAGAAATTAAAGATAAACATGTACACTTCAACAAACGTCAGTGTGATAAGAACTATCTAAAACGACTGAACCTTCAGAAAAACATTTTCAACATGTACTTTTGTTTGGTCTGTGTCTCATCTGCTAACATGGAGGAGGCTGGATTTATGACTTGGGTTTATGATGGATGTGAGACTCTCAGTCTGAAGCTTTGTTTGTAAAGCTGAAGTTTTTGTTTGTTCTGTAATTTATCAGTGACGATAGAGTCTGGTTCAGTCTGTTGCCAGAAGCTAAAGCAAAAACACTTCCACTTCCCCCAGAGTCAGACGGTCGAGATATGTGGCCAGAAAAAACTGATGATGAAACAAAGATTGAAAACAAGTTGAATCACCTGTTGCAATCAAACCAGCCACATAATAGATCAGCAGATTTAGTGCTCCAGATATTTCTGCGGTTAAATATTAAATACAAATTTATTATTCCTGCTGACGAACAATAAGAGGAAGCTTTTCTGCTTGCCTGAAAAATGTGCAAACATTTGGCCGAAATTATTTATGAGTTGGCTTTCTAAGTGAGGTCAGTTTTGAAGGAGGTGGGGTCTATATTTTGGGGGATTTCAAAAATTTTTTTTTTTCTTTTGAAGAGGTGACAAGTAGCCTCTTCCACTATGTCTTTGCTGTGGTTGAAACACTTTGTCCATTTCCTGTGTGCTACGAGAAAGATGTGAGGAAATCTACAGATTAAATATAGAGGAATAATCATGATTAATCTTCATCCTCCATTAAAAGCGCAGTTTGAGATGTTTTCTTCTTTAAAAAGCAGTGGTCCTCTGACTTTGGTTTGCTCCAGCAGTCATAATTCAGCATCTGTATCCTCTCTCGGTGCAGACAGCAGCAATGTCCCAGTGTTATTGAAGCCTGGCCAGGCTGATCAATGTCGTACAACTTTACTGCTTCTATTCATCAGTCTCACGGTGCTGCTCCTTAATGTCCCTGTTCTCCTGTTCTGCAAGCAACCTGCTATGAAAGTAGTTTTAAATTTGTCTCACAGTGAATTTAAAATATGATATAACAACCTGAGTCTGACCGGCAGCGGGGGATTTGAATTCACTTCATCCAGGTCTCGCCTTTGAACTTTTCAACCTTTCTTTATGGATTTTATATTTGTAAATGTTGAATTTTTTATTATTCATTCTGCGAGAATCACTGAAAGAGGGCAAGAGGAGACAACAGGTTATAAAAGGCAATTATAGTTTAAGTTGAAAACACAGTCTTGCTCTAATGATGCCTGAAGTGAGGCTTACTCCATTACATCACGACAATCTGACATGACTGGCGAAGAGACTCGTAAGCAGCTCAGCTCGATACTGTTTTAACAGCAGTAATGAGAGGAGATGCTCCAGGGAGAGGCTTTGGTCTGCACTACGTTTTACATCAAACCAAGTTTCCTGCAAAGTCTTTCTAGTCACTGTATGAATGATTGATTTGAATTTACTTGAGTGTTGCCAGTGTTTGCATTCTTCTTGAAGTTTAGCAAAGTTCATTTGATATTGGATAATAAGAAGTCTCCAGTCCTTGCCGGCAAAAAAGTCAGAATTCTGGACCATGGTTGGTCAAAAGCAACAAGATGATGATAATGAAGTTAACTGGAGACCGCATTCCGTCTTTGTTAAGGGAATTCAGGTCCAGGTGCAGGAATAAGGGATAGAATTTGAATAATTCATACGTCTCCCACATAAGACTGTATATAATAATAAACATAGACTCCACTGGCCTCATTTAAAACAAAAAGATGTGTATGCCGCTTCTCATGCAAAAGTTGGGATCTATAAAGGCAGACTTGACAGGAGAATATGCACACCTATACGCCAACTCTGATCCATGTGTACAAACATTTTGGAGACAAGAAAGTGGTGATGCAGACATGAGGTGGAGAACTGAAGTCAGATTATAAATCCACTTTATCATAAACATTAAAACCATGCAGTGTTATTTGTGCTTGTGAGACAGAACTGTTCCAGGAGAACCTTCAATTGTAATAATTCAAGACGATAAGTAGTTTTTATTATCTTCAAACAAATTTATTATCAAGTTTAGTTTGAGTGTTTCATATATTTTCAAAATTGTTGAACTTCAAACCTCTGAATTACCGTGATCAATTTGTCAAGGTGTGAAGGAATTAGCCCGAGTGCTGTAGACATAAATACTGTGGGGACGCTAATGCATAATGCTGCGTGATGGATGCACCGGCAATGTGAGAGGACTGCACGTGGATAGAAGGATTAGGAGAGAACAAGTGTTTAGCACCACTTGTTCTCTCCACAAAGATTTCCTGGCCCATGATGATTGAAGACTGGCTCATCAGCTACTTTTGATTCTCTAGAGCTTTTATCTTGGATCTTTGTGCTGAACTGAGTCCAGTATTAGACAGACCGATCCAATTGAACCAAACCATCCAAACATAAGTTCTCACTGCTCTGGGTTAATTAGCTGTATAATATTACATTTCTTTCTTTTTGGCTAATATAGTTCTTTTAAATTCTGTATTGGTCGGAGATAACGCAGCTGTCTCTGAATTCAGTAATCCTGCAGGTTTGGATGGGATTATTAAAGTTAAAATAAGTTCAATTCTCTTTTTGCCTTTAAATCTGACCACTTTTTTTTATTTCATGCACTGTCGTCTCTGTCGTACTCACTCAGTGCATTTTCTTTTATTGCTGAGATCACTGCTGTGGCCACCAAACAATATGTCACTCACAATCACGTGATTTGAAGTTGCACTTCCTGTCATGTGATCCTGGAATTCACCACAATAAACCATCGATCACCTTGGTCATGATGCGCTTTGCATTGGCCATTTATGGTTGAATGTGGGTGTGTAAAGGGCAGGATATAAGGCAGATCCACATACACACGTTTCCAGGTGAACTGTGATTTATAAAAAGGGAATGTTCATTTTGTAAATTGTTCCATATGAGTCAAATACTCAGAAAGCATTGTATGCATTAGAACTGGGCAATTAACCTAAAATGTATTATAACCGAAATTTATAACCTTTAATCGACCTAATCTTGTTCATGTCGGTTAATTTGTTTATTTCTTTGACCATTGTGTGCATTCACAAACTGTCGGGTTTCGTTAACATTAAACACTTGTCATAAGTTAATTTAGGACACAAACAACTAGAAGTTTACTTTTGTAGTTTGATTCGCTTAAGAGTTTAAGAGACATGTATTTAAACCCATTGACGAGTCACTTTGTGCACATGCAGTTCCACTGAGAGACATTATGTGCACAGCCAGTACATTAGGGTTAAAGTGACCAGAACAATCTGGATTCATGATCCGACGCCATCAATTAATAATGAATTAAGCAGGTGATATAATAATCAGTTCTCTGTGTGAGTGATTTGAAAAGAGCAGTGTCGCAGAGTTGTTTGTTGACCGGCGTCGACAAATGCACCTCATGCGTGTGGTGGGTGATTGATTTGAAGTTGATGGTCTGTATCGTCCCTCTCTGACAGCATGTCAGTGTAGCGCCCAATCTGTCCTGAAGTAGAAGCATTGTGTCACAACCTCTTGACCAAACACAAATTGACTGAGGCTCCTGATGAGCGACCATCACCACCACCCGCTCCTGGGTTAAGGTTAGAAAACATAGAAATAGCACCAAATAAACACTTCTGGCTTTGGCACTAAGTTAAGAAACATTACAGCACTAAACTCCCTGTAAAATCCAAATCTGTCTGGATCCGGTGGAATCTGAACTCAAGGCTCAGTCAGAACTGGGTCAGATACTGGAGCTTTTGAATGTGTTGCCTTTGCCTGAACACCTATAAAATATCATTTGTTTAAAGTAAAGACAAATGACTGCTGGCTGACAGTGTTACCTCCTATTCAAGTTACTTCTCTTGTCTGGTGTGAACCTGACAGATTCAGCTGAGTAATGCACACAGACACACAACTGCAGAAGTAATGGTGCACATTAGCTGATGTTTCACCAAACCATTCATACTCATTACAGCTGCAATTAGCCCCAAATGACATCGGATCACTGATTAAACAGACTGCAGAGCTGCTGGCTGCAGGGAAGGGAATAATGAATGAGTACTGTGAAAGTGAGAGTTGGAACTGCGAGGCTAAAACATACGAGAAGACATTTCAAAACCACCTGAAGCTTATTTGAAATCAATCTCTTCCATTACACACCCACAGACTGGGAGTGGATGACAAGAATTTCTTTTGGTTAACCAGCATTTTTGAAGGAGCGTCATTGCCTGTGTGCAGCGGGGGAAGATGTAGGAATACTGATTGTGCTGTTAGTTAGTCCTGTCGTCAGGTCACAGACGAGCCCACTCACTCTTTAATTACATTTTAGATTCATGTCCTAATCAGATGCTGCTGCTCACTTTTTAGCTGTGGCACATTTTCACTGCAGCTCACCAAGTCATGAAAACATTCATCTGCTTCTCCCCCTCGCTCCCCTGCATGACTCAATCCCTCGAGTTTTCACCTTGGAAAAGATGAATTATAACCATCTCAGATGAGTTTATACAAATGTACAAAATAGCATGCCATAGCATTTGTAACAGTGAAGTCCCAGACCAACTTTGCTTGAATTGTTGGGCAACTGGTAACTGAATGATTACTTAGGATGGAATCTAGGATGACAGTCAGCATCTGATGGACAGGAAGAACACAAATAACGTGCTGGCTAGTATTGTATGTGCAGCTTATTTAGTCCTATACATTTTTCACCAGCATCACTGGCTCCCGAAGGGTCAATCTCCAAGTCCTTTTGAGTTCTATTCAAACTAAAGATGTACAACACAACAGCTCTGCAAAAGTGAAGCCAAAGCATCTCGATCCAGATGGCAGTTTCCTTTATCTATCTTTATTTAGAGTCTATATGAACATTGCATCCCATTGTATACAACATGATCACCTGACAAACCTCAATTAACCTAACTAAACTGTAATGGATGTTTTATAGTTGGAGCAGCATGTGTGCTTCATAAACTGTCACACATTTTCTTATTCAGACTTTTTCATGTTCATGGTAAAGGTCCACTAACGGGAGTGGCGATGCCCTTGAGTTAGAGCATGAACAGTGTTCCAAGGTGCCTGAGAGTGTGTGAAAGCGCCTCTTAGGAGGCTATCAGAGGACATTTATGCTAAAAACATCAGATCACACACTGTTTGTCTCCTGGATACTGAGGGTATCTCCATCTGTTGTTATGGGAGAATAGTGTGTATGACGGTGCGAAGGCGTTGGTGCTCATGCTGGTTATAGATGAGCCTGCCGGCAGCTTCTGACACCACAGAGGCTGAGTTATGGCTCGTGCTGTGGCCACTGATCTGTGACCTGCAGGGTCTCACCAGGCTCTGATCAACTCTCTGCAGTCAGAGATGACTTTAATAAAGCCAAGAATATACTGCACAATGCAAAATTCTCCCTGTTTGAACATGAATTGATACCACATGGGATAAGTAGCCTCAATTCACTTATGTTGCATTGGATCGAAAACAAACTTTATGCTAAAACCTGTTACCAAGACTTCAGGAAGCAGCATTTAGGAACAAAAACCAATTTGATATTTCGGTTTGTACAGTAATGAAAAAAATGTTATTAACTGCTGACCTTTGGAGATGTTGGCAGATGTTGAAACTGATATTGAACGTTCCGAAAAAAAGCAATTACGGGTTTTCCCCAAATTGCAATATTCATTGGACTAAATCTGTATCGCTAAGCATGCTAACTAAAAGAAAATAAATTGTGTTGTGAGCGCAACACTGTCTTTGGTTGCTAGCCTGTCACATTTTTAGCAGCTTTTTCCTCAGTTTTACACTAACGCTCTTTTTATCTTTCTCCCTTCACCTTGTGCATTAATTCTTATCCTCACATCCTTTGCTCCTTCTCACTAATCATCTCATTCTCTACATCGTTCCACCTTTTTTTCCTCCTCCTCTTTTCTCATTCCCTGTCTCTGCTTCATTCCCAGCACATTTCACCTTGAATTCTACACCTCTCCCCACTTCTTTTCATCTTTACATCCCTCTCCTCCTCCCTCCTTCACCCGCCCCCTCTCATTTCTCTCTCAGGTGAGAAGTGTCGGAGCTTCATTGATCTGGCCCCTGCGTCGGAGAGAGGTGAGTAATGATGGTCATTAGGTATCGCTGCCACTCCCTGCCGCTCCCCACCTGTTCATCAGACTCAGAGAAAACCTTTTCAAAAGCAAAAAAAAAGGGAGAGATATTTCCTTTCTGGAATCTCTCTGTGGAATTTTCACTTCCATTTAAAATGTGGTTTGCTAAATTGTTCCTTGATTCTGGATTTGGGCATTCTTACTTGTACCCCTCTGATCGAAATAGATTACGTTTTTCATCCTGGTATAGGGACACAATACAGTGTGACTTGAGGTTCACCCCCAAAACAAGATTGATAAATAACACTGGGTGTTACGACCCCCCTGCAGTTGACTCGAGTAGCGTTTTTTGTCCGTGTAGATAACAAAAAGTTGATGTTGCTACCATTACAACCAGCGGTCACTTTTTCCAAAAATCAAGTTTGAACAAATTTGAAATGACACTGGATTTACCTGACAGGGTTGAACACTAGATGTTGCTTGGGGGAAATCTCACAAGTGAGCCCACAGATCTGTTGAAGAGTAAGACAGCTGCTTTGTACAATGTAGACAAACAACCTTATCTTAACTGGTTACTTAGCTGTTTTGGCTTAGAACCCAAAATACATCCACAAGTTTCTTCTCGGGTGCCTTGGAGTTGTGATTGTCCGCTCAGGCTCACTTTGCTTGCTGGTGTCCTCCATTTTCATTTCAAAACAGTATAACATTACTGGCTTACTTTACTGATAGTTCAAGAGGACATGGAACAGAGGTCATTGTGAACATTTATGCCCGCTTTGAATGAATGTTTGGATTTCAAATAGAAATTGACAATCCTAGTACCTCAACATCACTGGGTAAACCCTCAGCTGAGGCAGGCTCATCAGACCAGGGTGTGAGTCTCACGGTTATTCTTTAGATGGTCACTTTCTGGCCCAGGCGGTATCTTTTCTTTTCAGCCAAAGTCTGTGACTGCTCATTTGTGACTCCTACTGCCCAAGAGTTTGCAGTGGAACTAGGCTACAAAGCCAGTCACCTCAACCAGATGCAATTGAACAATTTGGCCTTGCTGCCAGGTTAGCAGTGTTCTTGGGGTTGACTAAAGGATGTTGCTACCGTTATTAAACATTTTTAGCTGTGCACCTCAACGCCACTTTTTTCACAAGGCAGACCCAGTGTGAACTCATACAACCTGGTTGTCTCACGGTTAGTCTCAGGATGGTCAACTTGGGGCCCAAACAGTAGTTTTTCTTTTAAGCTACATACATTGAGCACACATCCGAAATATAACATACCCAAAATGAGATGTTATTGTTCATCAGCCCTTTTATCAAAACCCTGGTCCCCTAAGAAAGGTTACTCCATAAATTAAATACTAAAAAAGTATAAGAGATACTGAACCAGTTGCAGAGCCACAAGCTTGGTAGAAATGCATGTTTTTTTAACCTTTTGCCTCACTTTTTTTGTCAGAAACAAACAACAAAAAAAAAGACTTTTGTAGAGACCATTTCAGAAGAAAGATATTAAGTCTGAACCAATTCAGCTAAAATGCTTTGCAGAGGGTTGGTAGAAGATTGAGTCCAGTCCAGACCGAAACGTCCCACAGATGTAATTCAAAGGGTTAAACTTTTTTATTGCTGCATTCAGCTCATTTTTTTTCAAAAACTAAATTCAGCCAGAGATTATGTTTGTCACCAAAACTAATTGGGAAAACAATTTAGTAATTTATAAAAGTAATTTTTTTTAGAAGAAGCCTGTGAGGGGTCTGCTGTCAGAGTCAATGAATCATACAAATGGGAACAGCCGGGCGCACTTTCAGTCACATTCACATTCATCGTATTCGTCACAGAAATAGTTTGTGTGAAGAATGAAAAAAGACCTTGAGAGAGAAACTTTCCTCCATCCACTCACCTGGACAGTCACTGAGAAAGGTTTCTTAGATAAATTAACAAAATATTTTATGACATAAAGCTCTGATTCATGCACAGTAGAGGAGCTTTCACATCCTCTGAGACAAGCTGAAGCATCCTGACAACTTCATTTTGAGTCTTTTGACAGAGGAGGCACCAGAAGAAAAGTGACATGTAGTAATTGATATGAAACGAGCTCAGTCTTTTGCTGCGTGTTGTCACTTTTGATTAATGGAAGTCATAAGAACCTGTACCCTGATGCATCATGTACACACAAATAGATTTTAAGTAAAGTTATACCAGGAAAAATATTGTATGTTTCCATCAATAATTTACTTAAACAGGTATTTTTTGAGTCATCATATTTCATTCCTGCTTTAAACTGTCAATCAATGAGTTAACGCTCTGGGGTCTAAGGATGACTAAATCAATATTTCTATTGTGACAATACCCAGAGACACAGGTCAGACATTGTTAGAATCTGTGAAGTGTCAGCTCTCCTTTGAATCTCTCTGGGATAACTTATGTCAATCAGACACTCAGTTGCAAGCCTATGAAACTGACTCATGTGACAACTGTTGCTACCTTCGCACAATCAATTATTGATGGTTTGTCAGCTTGCTATTTGTGTGAATCTAACCAATCAACACTCATGAAATTTCTTATGTCTGGGCTACACTCGCTTTTCATTTAGGTGTCCATGTCATCAGGTCAGTGCCTGCATCATCTGCGCTGCTCTTCTGGAGAGTTGAGGTCTCACCTATTTTCTCTGCCATTTCACAACCTGTTCACGGCAAAATAGACAGTAAAAGTGAACAAAAATATTTGCAACACCTGTACCTGTTTCAAAGTAAAAGCCCTCTGACGTTTCACTGGGCCGAGTTTACAGCTGCATCATAACAATTCATCCACATGAATAAAGGTGCATTTTCACAAGAGATTTCAATTTTTCAGCTTTTGACCAAATTATCTCTACTCAATGCTGTAGGTCAAATTTGAGCCCAAGTACAGACAAAGCTGAGACTGCCTGGGAAAAAAATACAAAACATAATTGTATCACGATGTATACAAGGGCCTGTAAAAGGCAAATCTGAATTGAGAAATCCCCTTCAACCCCAGATGGTGAAACTAAAAGTAACAACCTGGTGTTGAATGCCTTTGCGAAACAGTGCAGTCTACATACATTTTCTTTCTTGACTCATATGAGGTTACAGGGACCTTTGACAGCTGAAAAAGTTAATCTTTGAGTCCAAAATGGCAACTGGTCATTCACAGGATGATCTTGAGATATCATGTTCACTAGAATTGGATGGACGGACAGATGGAACCAAAAAAAAAAATGCCCTCAGCCATTGGCTGTCACCAGCGTGGTGACTTGAATAAAATGTTTTGTTCAACCTTTATTAAATCTGATTTTATACATTATAATCAAACATCAAGCTCAGCATCTCCTGCATGATATTTTATACACAAGCAAAATGGACAGACTGCTGCACATTTTTACGGACAATGAAGATTATCCTGGGCCCCTCATCTTGATAACCACTAACTGCAGATGAGAGCAGCTTCTTTCTATCAGCACTTGATGTTTACATTCTGCAGCTCATGAAAGGAATGCCTAAGCATCCAGAAGAAAGGGAATATTTTGTTGCATGTGGGCGTAGCCTGTAATTCACTGTTTCATGCAGAGCAGGTAGTTAATAATGAAAGTTCTCTGATGGTTTCATCTGTTAACGCCATCTGGAAGAAGAGCAGGAGTGCTGCACGGAGCAGTGGTGGATGATGTGATATACTGAGCTGGGCGACCTTGCTTCTCGCACAAGGATACAATATGTTAATCTGCCTTTCTTTGAGCCTGACATGCTCACTGCTGTGTTTTATAACACGCAGCTGCTCCTCGGGCACATCCAAGTCTGTCCCTAATGAAAATTGGAACAAAAAAAAACTTCTGTTTGTTTAATTTGTTTTCTAAAATACCCTCAGAGAACAGGGGTCATAACCAGGATTTAAAACTGTTGTGGGTATGCAAACTTGTCTTCTTGAAATTACATTCATAACCTACTTAACCGTCTTTTAAAATATGTTATGAATGTGTAACCCTTTTACCACCGGCTCGTGTATTAAAACCCCCCTTATGCTTTAAGATGAAGCTTTAACCCTTTGTTAAACATTGTATGGTAAAAGACACATTTCAAATAGTAAATATCAGTCTAGGGTAATGTATGATTCTCACTTTCAAATAATCCATTGGAGACTATGGGGAATACACTTGACCTATAAACTCTCATGTAATACTTCAATATTAACACAAATCCATACACCCAACACAAGATCTCGGTTTCTTAAGAAATGTACTAACACTTGGCAGAGAAACACACATTCAAACCTTTCTTTATGGAACCAGAATGTAGAAAATAACAAACTTGAACCCAGGGGTATAGGTTTTGTCTTTACTCAAACCGTCTAATATTATTTTGAGTGCACTCTTTGTTTAATGGCGTTGGCGCGCTTTAGTTGGAGCTCATGAAGGAAACCCTTGATACAAGTACCTCCGTGTGTCGGTGAAGTCCGCAAAACCAGGCCGCATCTGACGAATCACCCGCTCGTCGCGGTAGCCACCGTCCTCCACCCGCAGCGGCCCGCAGCGACAGACCTCCGTCTCCGTCGACAGCAGCGATGTCTCCCTTCAACGAGGACCGTGGCGTTAGCCTAGCTCCCGCTAGCTTACGTAGCCGACCTGACCTCGCGTTTACGAAACACAAGCGGTGGTGGCGAGTCCGACCCCCACACTTTAAACAAGTCGTTCAACTACAGTTCACAGTCCGTTACCAATGAAAAGTCCACATGAAGGACACACGCAGTCCCGGAGTCTCTGCTCTGCGCCATTAGCACGTTGCTCCTTCTTCTTCCGAGTCGCTTCCCCCCGGAAGTGTAAGCATTCCAAGGTCATGAACTCACGCACGTAATGCAACGTAATAGAATTGCTTTTAACTTTTCCAAAATCATTCACTCACCAGGAAATTATGTTTTTAAAGTCACTCATTTAAACATAAATTATTAACA